AGATGTTGTATGTTGTCTTTCTCTTTTCAGCGGACATGGAAGCAGATTATCTGTTTTGTTTTTTTCTTTTCTCCTTTTTTTCCCTCCTCTCTCTCCCTCTTATCCTTTCCCCTCTCCCTCTCCGTCTTTTGAGGAAGTAAATAAAAATATAAAACAAATAAATAAATAATAACATAAATAAATAAATACAAATAAAGTAGTCCTCCGCAGAGGGGGGGTGGAGGAGGGAATATAAAAAAATAAAAAATAAATAAAAAATAAAAAAAATTAATTAATCTATTATTCTTGCTTCCGCGTTTTTCTAGTAGATTCTTGTTTAAATCAGAAATAGCAGCAGCAATTAGTGTCACTTGCCAGAACCTGAAAGGTGACTTAGTTTCTACTAATCCATGAATGCAGGAAGCTTTGCGAATGTATGTTACCGTATAATTTATTTCGTGACGTAACGGATACTGTGGAATATTAAGTTATTAACTATGGAAAAACACGCTCATCACTGCGGTAAACGTATGCCAGAGGTTTATTTACGAAATAACCCGACTGTAAGCCTTGCCTATTTGTAATATTTCTTTTGAAGAAATATCGGCCACAGTTTAGTTCTTGTTTATAACTTTTTAAATTCCCCCACAATGGTAAAATCAAATCTTCAAACATGAACCGACAGATACAAGCCGTTATTTAACCGAGGATTAGGAAGCTTTACGTAGTGCATAAGCCAATATCGATTTTTCTTTTATTTCTAATTATTATTGTTGTTGTTAGACTTATTTTATTTTTAGATTTTTTTCTAATACAGGCATATTTCCATTATAAAACGATGGGTCGATGTGCAGGAGATTTCTGAAAAGCACTTTATCTTATAAAACGCCATGTTCTTTTCTAAGGTCAAGAAGCAAAAGTAAAACCCTTGAAGTTGCACATACACCCAGTAAACAACAGGCAATCGCTAAAAACAGCACATTCCCAAACTTTGGTCGTAAAAGACCATAGTCAAATTTCAACTTCCTTTAGCTGGTGTTTGAGGCGTGTCTGAATTTCACTTGTGTTCTGCATCCTTATATATCTGTGTATCTAGTTGCTTAATTAATAATTCACATAGCAGATGATTAACACTAAATCCAGACAGACTTCACTGTGAATTGCAACGTACGATATGTAATTTACTTTGACGTAATTTAAATTGTCTGCCGTTTTACACTGGGATGCCACCTTGTGGCCAAAACAAAATATGAACTTCATCCCTCGGTTTTAATGTAGATGGTTTTTACACGTGGCGCTGCCACCGCGACGGTATTTCACAAGCCCTGGGGTTTTGTGTAAAATTATTACTTGGTTTCTTTAACTGATTAATGGAGGTAAGGACACTAATTAAAATTTGGTGCTGTATTTTTTTTAGCTCATCCGGAGAAAGCAGTCTCTTGCACGCTGCTGCCCCCTAGCGAGCTAGCAAAGTAATGGTTAATTGTGGAATCAATTGCATCCACCCTCTGTAACTGCTTATACTATTCAGGGTCATGGGATGTCCAGAACCTGTGGGGGCAAGGATGGGGCACCAACCCATTACAGGCCCCACTCACACACACACACACACACACACACACACCTACAGGCAATTTGGCAACTCCAGTTAACCTCAACATGTGGTGGGAAAGCCAGAGTACCCAGTGGAAACCGCACAACAACACAGGAATAAGATTCAAATTCCATACACATGGAACCATGTTGGAGACCCGAACCCTGGATCTAGAGGTGTAAGGCAAGTGCTAACCACTGCACCGCAACTGGAATCAATTCTGCTTCTGAAAACACTTAAAGAATCATATGTAAACTCACCTCTATTTCATGTTTATATGAACCTTCTTTTTAACCGGTGCAAGTTGCACATCTTCACTGTATGTCCGAAAGCGCTGGGACACCTGGCCATTGCACCTACAGGAACTTCTCACATTCCATTCTACATTCCATTGGTGTTTTTCTGGAATCCTGCAGTTATTGAGTCCTCAGAGTGTTGGGCACATAGTGTGACTGAATAACTACAGGTGTCCAAACTTTCTCTAGCATTTCTCTGGCATTATCTACCCCCGCTCTCTCACTTTACGTGGTCTGCAGCTTCATGGCTGAGTTTCTGTTGTTCCGAAGTGCTTCCGCTTTGCAATAATACCACTTACAGTTGACTGTGCAATATCTATCTGGGAATTTCATGAACTGGCTTATTGCAGAGGTTGCATCCTACAATAATAAAACGCTTGAATTCACTGAGCTCTTCAGAAAGACCCATTCTTTGACATTGCTCTCAAAACAGAAAGTGAATGTTTATGGGCAAAAAAAAAAAAAGAAATCTAAAACCTATTTGTCAAATGGCCCTATCATCAGAAGCCTGACAAGCATTGAATGTGTGCCTGAAATCTGAAAAGATCCTGAATTTAAGGCATTAGCCATCAACAAAAATAATAAAATATTGCAAATTATGATATCCTTAAGGCTGGCATGGAGGTGCAGTGATTGCCACAAACCTTGGGAACCAGGGTTCAAATCTCCGCTCGAGTTCCATGTGTGGATTTTGCATGTTCTTCCTGTCCAAAAACACGCTGAGGTTAATTGGAGTTACCAAATTGCCTGTGTGTGTGAGTGAATGGTGTGTGCGTGTATGGCGTGTGTGTGAATGGTGTGTGTGTGTATGTTGTGTGAGTGAATGGTGTGTGTGTGTATGGTGTGTGAGTGTATGGTGTGTGTTTGAATGGTGTGTGAGTGAATGGTGTGTATGGTGTGTGTGTTTGTATGGTGTGTGCATGTATGGTGTGTGAGTGAATGGTGTGTATGGTGTGTGTGTGTATGGTGTGTGCATGTATGGTGTGTGAGTGAATAGTGTGTATGGTGTGTGTGTGTGTATGGTGTGTGTTTGTATGGTGTGTGTGTGTGTATGATGTGTGTGTATGGTGTGTGTTTGTATGGTGTGTGTGTGTATGGTGTGTGTGTTTGTATGGTGTGTGTGTATGGTGTGTGTTTGTATGGTGTGTGTGTGTGTGTATGGTGTGTGTTTGTATGGTGTGTGAGTGAATGGTGTGTATGGTGTGTGTGTGTGTATGGTGTGTGTGTGTGTGTATGGTGTGTGTTTGTATGGTGTGTGTTTGTATGGTGTGTGTGTGTGTATGGTGTGTGTGTGTGTGTATGGTGTGTGTGTGTGTGTGGTGTGTGGGTGTGTGT